GCTTTAGCTTAAATATTCTAGATTTAAAATTATAAGTTTCCCAGTGACTGCCATATTTGTAACTCTAAATTTGAATTTATAGCATCAAAGCAAATTCAACGCATTTTTATAAAACTCTCCTTTTTGTAAAATATAGCATGTCGTATACGTTCTTACATTTCACAGCTCCTCCCATTTTAATGTCAGTCCTGTTCCGCATATCTCTGGCAGTAAATCCCCCTTTATTTATCGCTCAGCGAGCTCAAACTAAACCAGAACATAAACAACTCCAATAAAACACAGCTACATGTAAACGTCTTGGTCATCCGTCCTAGTTTTCACGAGTTCGTATCCCCCCTCTCTATGCCCCCGTCCTACTCTGAGAGCCCACGACGGTCGTCTTAACACGACATAATATATTGCTTCAAGATCCATCAACCCCTATGTAATTATCTTCCTGGAGGTAGGAGGATGCAAGAAGCTAGCCAAGGTGTTAGAGGTGATGATATCGTATCTTCTCCGCGGTGTCACGAGGCACCGCAATTCTAGATGAAAATGTGTTTATACAGCACTTGAAGCTTTGAATAAATTCCTTCGTCGTGTTAGAGGCGTGACGTCAACAGTTGTCGCAAATTAAATTCAACTTAACGTCGACTACAGCTGTAAACTCCAAGAGTGTATCTGTCTTCCTTTCTTGGAATGAATTCTGTTGTCTTTCCCCACTTTATTAAATAAAAAGAGTTAGTGTCAAAAGTTAGAATTTGAGTCTGTTAAATGAAAAAAAAAGTTCCCCAAAATAGAATGCATTACCCCAAAAAAATCGTCTTAAAAGAACAATGCCAATCTATTTTCAATTTTCCGATCAAAATTTATGAAAAATGAAAGAAGAGCCATGTTTATTCATTTTTATATTTAGCTGGTTATACCCCGACCTTTAACCTCAACCGACTCACGGATTGCGATTCTTTTTTGTAATAAATATATTCATAAAACCACATTCTTAAGTCTGAAAAAAACTATGTCAACTGTACTGATAGTAGGCTATGTCTACTGTCTATGTACTGTCATTATGAAAACTTCAGCCTGAAATTGAAATCTTAAACCTGGTTTTCCTGCATAATAAGAATGTATAAATACACCTGACCTCATTGAACTCCTCCCGACACCTTCTCAAGTTATTCCGAGCAATCCCAGGACCCCTGTTTCCGGCCAGGGTCTCTCTTGGCCTCAAGAGAACATCTTTAATCGGCCTACATGAGTGAATGTATAATGTTGCCCAATCCAACATGTACTGGCGTGGCACGCATGGCCAAGGCAATGTAGGGAGATTACATGAATGTGATATGTTACCATTAATTAAACACGAGATTAACGATAGCCGACACCTTAAGCATGGGCGTCGCCAGGATTTTTCTAGAGGGGGGCAAAATTTTTTTTGGCCAAAAATGCTTGTATTTCTCAACACATTCTCGATTTATCAGTTTTAGAGGGGGGCAGGGACATTTTGCCCCCCCCCCCCCCAACTCATTAAATTTACACCACTTTGTCTTCGCGCCTCTTTTTTTTTTTTCTTTTCTTTTTTTTCTTCCTTTTTTTTTTTTTTTTTTTTTTTTGCTTTTCCAGGGGGGGGGGGCAAGTGCCCCCCTTGCCCCCCCCCCCTCGCGACGCCCATGACCTTAAGCTGAAATTCAGTGCTTGTTTTGTTTACATTTTTGTTTTATTCGCTGCGGGATAACAACACCATGTTATCATCATCATGTCTCTTCGTTAGTTCGTTAGTTAGTTAGTTAGTAACAAACGTTGACATTGTCTATTGCTCCTACATATTTATTTTTTACCGATTTCAACCAAACTTTGTCAATCAATCAATATCGTCAGCAAACAAGATTTGTTTACAAAACAAAATTGTCCTTATGTTATTAAGATGGGCTGAGTCTACTTCAAGTTCTAAATTTTGAAGGGGAAAAAATGGAAGTCTTTATTCACGAATTCATAAAAGCATCGACAAATAGCAAAATACTGCTTACCACATTTCCTCCGTTTTTAACTATAAACAATTATATGTGGACTTTGAAATGAAAAAAAAAAACACTTGCTTTTCATAATAATGTCCAAAGAAAATCCAAATTGTCGACAAAATACATCTATCGTTTAAAAATGGCACAAGTGTAAGAGAAACAGCTCACTTTTTTCAATATTCGAATAAAAGATACCAGGGAAATGTTCGTAATTATTGGCGATACTTGTCTTGAGATCTGTTCATCTTCAAGTATGTTTTCTCTCACAACAGGTGTATGTAAAATCCACTTGTAATTAAATCTACCTCGGCTGCATGGTATTGATCCTATCTGTATTCGCTCTCTGCACATAGCTACGCTGTGTTACCCTCCGTCGAAGGTTGTGAATAATGTGACAAATTTCATCCCTCCCCTGCTCACAAAATGTTGTCTCTAAAAATAAGACAGTCACGAAAAAGTAATCAAGATATTAGTTTTCGATTGCTGTGCGTTCAGACTCAGCATTGACGTTCAGACTCCTCACGTGCAATGATCCACGCGCCTCACGCTATACAAACGCACCAATCAAATGCATAGGTTTATCCCTCGTGACCTTATACCATTCCCCTCTGCGCATGCGGGATTGTACTCAAGTCAACATGAGTGAAGTCCGAACACCCAGTCGTAGCCTCTTCTCGTGCGCCGTTTTTACCGCTCCGATAGAACAAACCAAGCGAACTCCTTAGATCTCGTGCCTTAAGTCATAGCAGGGTTGGCAACTTTTGTTATTTATAAAAATAAATCAGACTTTTTTTATTTAAATCATAATTTGTAATTTTTTTAACTTTCAAATATTGATTTGTCTCAAAATTTGTCTAAATCTTCCAATGCACCCTTACCCCCATAAACAAGGAGTTTGCGGGTTCCTTTAATACCCATCATCCAGAAAACTCAATTCAGTATTCGGAAATTTTCAAACAAAAATTCCCAATTTACATTGATAACTGCCTTTGAAAAAATTGTATTGAATCAGTGATTTAAAAAAAACCAGTCAATTGATTTCATCCACACGAAGTCAACCTCATTTGTACATAAATGTTGAAGTCAATCTTAAGTGCATGGCTTGATTGGTACGGTCGAGATACGTTGTGTGTAGATATGAATGAAAAAATGTTAGGTGTGGTACATGATATACCAAAAACTACGAGTACAGTTCTCCTTGGGCATGTGTATTTCATAAAAATGCTTCTAATTTAAGAACGACAGCACTGATCTTGTGAAACTTAAAGAAAGAATGTTTGATTGTTGGTCCTTCATACAAGGTGGAGAAATTATATGATGAAATCAGGCATTACACCTTTAAAGGTATTACATAAATCTAAATCTAAATTTTTATGGAGAAAAGTTGGGAATGAGACTATCAATCGGAACTTTCAATATACCTTTAGATGGTTTATGTAAGCCCACGCCAGCAAAGTTGATTTATATTATTACTGATGGAAGCAAAAGTGAGTGTTCTGACTGAACAATTCATTGATATTCTACAAGAACTTAAAATTCAAACTTCGAAGAAAAACATTTACATGTAGACTCAGATCTTGACTTTAATCAAAGCAATGATTTTTGGGTAATTATGCAAAACCTACATGTAAGTTGAGTCGATGCTGATGAAGTAGGGGTGTTTTAATGTGTTAACAACAACTTACACTTTGAAATTAGGTAAGTTGAATCAGTTGATTTAACGGATTAAAATGACCCTCAATTTATTTTGCCAAAAAATGAAATTTTAACAAAAAAAGTGATTTAAATAAGTTATTTATTTAAAAAAAAAAAATCATTTGATTTAAAACGCGATTTAAATCAGCGATTTAAATCAACGTGATTTATATCGGTCAACCCTGCTTGTAAGATTAACGTTGCATAGAAGCTTGTAATGTTCTCCCCAATTGGAGTGCTGCGTTGTGCACTAGCCTCATTTCCCCCAATTTTATTTTGTTATTTCCTTGAGGTGAATTCATTGAACACAGAACTGGTCAACCCTGAGGGTCTATCAGCATAATTGTCATAAATAGTACAGATATAAAGATAACCAAATAGTGCTGGAGAATCGTAGCGTGAAGCGGCCGCAGACGATGCCCTCCGTGGGCCTCTGCACTACAATCTACGGCGTCGGTAGCTGTCGACAGACACGGTGAACCCTGGGGTGATTTACGGAGGGGTTGATGTTGACTGAGTTATTATACACGCCGTGCAGGTTATAAGGCCAAGATGCATAATAATATGCCGGAGCCGTAAATTGATGTCATTTTAGGCGGGAAGGCGTGCAAGTATGAAAGGTGTCAAGGTGCACGCGTTCGAAGCAGAACATTGGCGAGTGCCGTGTGGCTGCGTTAATAGCGGTTTTACGTTCGTTTAATGTTTTGGACGTTAGTTGACCGTTTGTTGCACGTTCGTTGAGTGTTCGTTAAACACTTAGGTATAGACATTGCATCATTGGCAGTTATAATACAAATGTGTAGAGAGAAAACAAACAACCCACTTTAATTACTTCTTCACTTAATTCTGCTATTTAGTTTTCTAACTCAAGGCATGAATCTAAAACGTTCTGTGGCGTTTATCGGAAGGAACGGCAATTATGTTAACCGTTCCACAATAACGTTTGGTCACGTTCGTACCTTGTTCACAAAAGTCATCATCCATGATAGTGGTGATGGGTAACTCGGGTCCAATTTGTGGGAGATTGGGGCCCTATTTTCTGGAAGGGGGCACATAGTGCAATTTTAACATCTCGGTTTTCTTTCAAAACACTCATAGTCAGGAGAACAAGGGGAGAGCCTCGAGTGTGTGGGGGGGGGGGGGCTACCTCCATGCCTTCTCCCCTACTTGCACCACTGATGTACGAAAGAGGCTAAGTGATCCATAATGTGAAACACCTGACCAAGTTTAAAATTGTAAACCTGTTGCGACTGGTAACATTTGATCAAATTAATGATTTCCCCTCCCTTTTTTGCCCGCCATTTTTAGCGGTGTCTGGAGCCGCGGGTGCGAGGGCCGCCATGTTACACGTGCCCCGCAATCGACGACGCAGCAGCACCGCCAGCTACGCCGACTCGTCCGGCCATGGCACCCCACGCACGCCCTCTATTGCCCCCGCCGAAGGTCTGGAGTACGACAATCGGAACGGTCGGCCGCCAGACCTGGAAGGTGAAGGGAACGAGAAGATATCTGATATCTATATGAGTCGGAGGTACGGTGCAGAGGTCAATGCCAAGGATACATTGATTGCTGTGGAACAGTGGAAGCGAAACCAAACAGATAGCGACAAGTTATCCAAGGCACAGAAGAAGCGAAGGGAATATGAGTAAGTACCGACAACTCTTTTGTTAACTTTCCATCTGACGAAAACTTAAGTGCACAACTCGAAACGCTGAGGGGATCCATGATTCAATAGCCCTGACCCCTGTGACATTATGACGTCACGCTTTGTTTACATGTGGGCTTTCTCAGTTACGGGAACCAGGTTGGAGACGAGCCACCAAATTCTGATAGAATGCATATACACAAAACTTAAAATTATCAAAAAAGGAGCAACATGTTTGTGTCTTGTACGTTTCTACGGTTGCTGGGCACAAAAGTTTTTCCTTGGTGTTACCGTTTCGAGAAAAACATGAGATATTAGAGACGTTGCATTTTTGTTTTATTGGACTTGACTTTAGGTAAATTTCTATCAAGGACGCCAACAGTGTATGCTTTAAACTTTCTTCCAACTACTTTACAGCAGGTCAGATGATAAATGTTTATCTATAAAAAAGTTCTCAAATGTGTTCCCGTAAGCCGTCTGTTATTTTCATAGAACGATGCAGTGATTTCGAATGCTGTGTGAAAAGGTAAATGATCGAACAACTTCATAATAAGGAGCATTCATTTTTGGAACAAGTTTGATGCATTTATTTACAAAGTCTCAATTTTGCATCAGGATGGCGTAAGTTTTATCAAACCAGGAATTACCCATACAGGGCTGCGTTTCGGTTGCACGAACGTTCGTTGAGCGTTCGTCAACGGTGTTCGGCAAAGCGGATTCGATTTGGGCAACTAAACCGTTGTCAAAATGGCGGCGTCCAGTGACACTGTGTGGCTAGCAGCCTTCCAAACTCTCGAAGAAATAGTATCGAGTGAATGTGAAGTTTCACCAGAGATTTATGGGATCATCGGGGACTTTGTTGATAGCTGACTTTATCTTACGCGATGAATCTCTTCAGCAACATCTTCTGTTGTTCGCCTTATGTTGCCAACGTTCGTCAACGTTGATGGCGCACAAAATGTTCCACTTGTTATTGTTGGCAAACGTTCGCAACGTTCGCAAGAGTGGAATAGTAGATATTCTTTAACGTGATGTGCCATGGTAGCCTATCCCGAGATTTAATTTTAAAAAAGCTGAACCAGAGAAAAGGTATAGATAAGTTCTCACCCATATGTAAAGTTTATCAAAACTCTATAAAGGAGCCCGAAATGTGGTAGATTTACTTTGTGCATGAACCCAAATCATAATATGATATCCCCGTCTTGGGTATTAAATAATTAGATTTAAAATTTGTTGCCAAAAAAAGGAGAAAATATGTTATAATCTTCTAGTGGTGTGTCATCCAAGCTCGTACTAATGTAAGAATACTCACAGCGGTACATACCGGTACCTAAGATCATTATTTTGCTTTGTGTGCGTATTCCCGTTTGAAACAACACAATAATGCTCAAAATCTGAAGAAGGGTACATGCATGAGAACTAACTTGTTAAAGTTTCAGCTCAGTAGCTAATATACATTTTGAGAGACAACAATTTTGCACAATTTTTTAGGTCTCGTGACAGGATTCCGTTCCTAATGCACGTAAAAAGAAAAAAATGGGTATAGGCCTACCCGCGGGTATACTTCTTAAACCACCTTCAATGATGATTTGTTTTCTACCGAATTCTACCAAAATTGAAACATTCCAGGCGGAATAATTTCACAGGGTGTGTTTTACTAGTCCTATCGTCACTTTGAGCGAGGATTTTCTTGTTAAATCGGTCGGTACGTTCCTTGGTACGTGCATTGCAAATGTGTTTGCGTGCCTCTAATGAAACATCCCTTTGAGATGTCATAATATAATACGTCTGTTCGGTGATCATTACGATTGTAGCTTAAGTGAAATCTTTTTCTTTATACTCGTCATGCGCCTTTCAGGATGTCTTGAGGTTTTAGGCATTCCTATATTGACATTTCCCTGATTAACCTTCATCCAAGAGCTGCTAGTCGTTCTAATCACTCCAACCAGCCCTGAGATAATTGGAATACCCGTACGCACTATTCATGGAACAGATAATTAAATCTGGTGCCAGTAATTGATGTGATATCGTCAGCCACCGTGGTCTTACAAACCTCGCTACCGTCCCTATCCCCTCGTAATCCGTTAAAATGACAGTTTAAAAACCACCAGCAATGTCCAGCATTTCACTGGGGACCCCGTCACGCTAGATCTGCCCGTCATTGACTCGCTAGATACGGTGTCGTATGGCACAACTAAACTCCCCAAATAACGGCCCTTTTCGCAATTTCCTCGGTCCCCTCTGAATGACTCACCCACCTCTTCAGCCTTTTACAGGGCCCACATTTTACTGACGTGAATACTAATGTCTCAATGTCTTCGTCTCACAGCTCTACCTTCTTAACCTCTTGTCTTAGACCCCCCCCCCCCCCCGGTAGTTTTTTTTCCCCAGCACATCCAAAAACGCGCTGTTAATAAAATGCACGCTTGGAGAGGCCTGGCTGCTCCTATTCGTCCACTGCCATGCTCTGCGCGCATATCCAAGTCTCACTCCCAATCAGCATGCATGAGATTGCGAGCTCGCATCGCCTCTTGCTATCTGCATTGCATTAATGCAGGGCGTATGTACATCTCAGCGCGCAGGCAGAGTGCGCGGGGGTTGCTGCCTAGCTCTGCTCCTCACATCTCAATGCTTACTCGCACAGTTGTCATTTTCGTCCTGACGAGTGGCCGCGTTCACATGGCCCGTACAGCAAGCAAGACTGAACGGGGTTAGATCAAACCATGTTTCGACGTCCATGCATACGGGATTAAAACAGTGCTCTCTGTACATACGATCTTTATGGAGCAAAGTACAACAGTGTGTTGTCACGAACTGCCCTCGCTGGAAATAGCGGGCAAATTACTGAACTTGTTACCTTGACGAGAGTGTGGATTATACCCGTCTCATCTCCTGGATGTTCTCCGATGGGACTTGAATCACCTGCATCTTTGAGATAAGTCACCGCCATCCTCAGTAGCATCTTCTTCCCCTTCTTCAACCTTCAACCTTCCTCTGTGATTTTTACCCAAAAAAATCGTCTTCAAGATGAAAGCCGTTAGAATCACAGGCCACGTTCGTGACCGGCGACCCCAGTGAGTAATAATCCGTGGACACCCCCTTGTTCCTCCTCCACAAATACCTCCCTTCGCCAACCCCTTCTTAACGTCCAATTCTCCACAAGAAAGATGCCATCTGTCTTGTCCCCCCCCCCCCGTACCAAGAGGCAGCGTCAACGTTCCGTCTTAAGACGTCAAACCCCTTCCATTGCCAAACTAGCTTGTGCTTCTTTGCTTTTCCTTATATAGTTTTCTTTTCAGTTCTAAGATCCTCACCTTAAACTGTCTTGTCCACTTTTCGTTTCTTCTAATTTCTTCTAATTTCTCTCATTCCTTAATTGCTACCAATCCTGACATTGCTTCTGCTATTCGTTTCCGTCATTTCTTTGCTCTTAATGTTTCTCTTTTCAGTCTTAACATAATGTAACAAAAACAAGTTACGACAATGCAACATAAATACACGAAACATAATCCAGTTGCTCAAATAAAATTATAAAATCACAGAAGTACGCCTAATTTGTCAAAGACATTGTTACAAATAAATGTTGTAATTGTCTATATTCCTGACCGCAATTAATGATCACAGCACACGCCAAGAACTCAGTCACACTGCATGCTTCCAATATTGTGATTAATCTTTGACCGATACAGGGTCTCGCCATATCGTCAAACCAACGCCAATGTCATCGACAATCCGAAGTTATTTACACAATCTGATGCGTAGTGGCAGTGCAGTATTCAACAAGCTGTCCTTAGAATTAATCAAATATTACCAATCTACGCAATAGCTGTCCCGTCGTGCTGGCTTCCTCGCACTTCCTCCGTTCAAATATGAGCGTAAAAATCTGATTTTGGTACCGTTTATTTCCATAGCAACGGATGAAGAGTGAAATGTTTAAATCAGTTAGTAATTCTAGTACGACGAGATACAATCTCCAATTTCTAACCGAGCATAACTCGTGTTATTTTTACACCTGTAGATTATGTGTTAAACCCGAAATAATTTGATCGTGTGTCCCCCTTCTTCTCAGTCGCCGTATTCACGATGCACTCATCACTTCGCCGATTCAAATGAACACAGGAATTCGCCTGATGGGGCCATAATGGCAGCCTGCCCCGCGGCTGTTCTGACAGGGGTCGCTCAGCATGAATTCCAAACGGGTGGCCGGAAACCGCTCCGCGCGTCATGATTGTCAGTTGAGATTGTAGCTGGCGGGAGTGGAAAGCGAAGAACAAAATCTAGGAATCCGCAATTCGTGTGATATAAATTCCATCATTTAAGAACTTAGAATACCAATTACTTCGAGTACACCTGGGGGAAAAATATCCCGAGATTACTTAAAGTAAAGCAGAAAATAAGTGATTGTATGAATATTTGGCATCCAGACGAATTTATGTGTTATGCGCTATTTTGTAAAATGAACTTTCAGATGAAATCTTGAGAGTAATCCTTCTTTCGTTTATTATCCGTTTGGCCAATCCCATGTGAGCATCGGCGCGTGTTTTGCAGTCAAATGTGCGCTATAAATATCGCATATGTCAGACGACAATTTATGAAGATTAAGTCACTCGGTTTTTTTTTTTTTTTGGTTTTTTTACTAAGAACGGAACTAAAATACCTTGGGAAAATACTGATTTGTTCTTCGTTTCGTCCGCTTATTATCAAATCCATTTAATGTTCAACCGTAAATCGTTTTTCTTCCTTTGAGAAATAGTTGTCCATTCAAAAGACGACAACCTCAGACATCTAAACATGACTATTTGAATTAAGACCTCCAGAACATGAGTTGATTGGGTTTTTTTCTCAAAAAATTCAAGTTGGCTTGTTAAAAAATACTTTTCAAAACTTTGCACTCTTAATTGCCTTAAATATATATATATAAAAATGAACTTTACTGTGCAACCCACACTGCTGAATGTCAAAATAGATAATTTTAATAAATACAAAAGGAAACTAGAAAATGTCTCCCAAACGATACAATATGCATCGAAATCTCACTGAATCAGCTCGAATACGCAAAAATCGATCTTTCTTCGGGAAAACGCCCTGAGCATCTGTGCAGTTTCGTCCTCAATGTGCGCTATCTGATCGATGCTAATTGAGTAATATCAGGTTTTCTCTGATGAACTCGCCAACCAAATAGAAACCAAAAAGAAACTTCCCTCAACGTTTTATCTGAATGTGTGAATGGTTTCATTCCAACATCTCGTTTATTTTTAGAGAAACTCAGAGTTTGATTTTGTTGATTTGTCCGTTCATGTTGACATTGATAACTATGACAGGCCCTTCTCGCGCAAAACAGAATGGCGGCGCCCATGAAATCCATGTTTGCCATGAGATGGTTTTCATTAATATGCGAATAATCCTTACGTAACACTCATCGAACGTTAAAGCTGTGTTGCCTTTAAGCTTTTAAATCTTATATTCATGTGTGGACAGAATTACTTGAGCAGATCAAGGGTAAAGAGGTGTGTAACCTTAAGA